GCTGATCATTTCAACTTGCAGACATCCAATCCTGATCAAAAACTATTAGCACATGACAATGTCAAAATCTGAACATTATGCAGATTCTGTGTAGTATGCTGTCAAGTTTTCTACTGCATTGGAATTTAGCAAACTAAGGATTCTAAGTGAGTCAGATCATCCATCAGCACAATATACTGCAGCTTGACAGAAAACTCAACTGAGCCATTGTCATGAAAAATAGCAAACGCTGCAGACAGATATATGAGGTAGAGACTAATAAAGAGGTGATCAGCACCACAATTCTTGATGGATCGCTCGCAGTTTTCTAATTAGTCCCAACACTCTCACTTGAGCTCATTTGTGATATGCAATAAAATCTGACAGATCTGCATTATCTGAATGCATAAACAATGTAAAAATGTATAAATATATACAGCGTGCTTACTGCATTTTTTGCCAAACTGCCATAAAAAATACAATGAGAATAAAAGCTTTAACAAATGCCCTGTTTTGCCTGATGGCATTTTAGTGGCAGGCACACAGTACAACTCATGAGGCCAGCCAAAATAATGTTTTGCACTACGCAGATAGTTTTATGACATTATTTTTCTGCTGTGCAGCTCATAGCACCATGAAACACAATTAAGTTAACATCTTTTGCCCAAATGACAATGATCTCTGATCTCACTACATGGCAGAGCAAGAGAATTTTTTCACTGGAGATTGCCGATGTGTGATATTAGTATGCTAAGTCGCAAATGGAGACGCATTTGATAATATTTTCATTTCTCGCACATGTCAATTTCTAAAGTTGAGCTACTTATGCAATATCGCGGTTCCTAAGCCCTGCTCCTTTGTCCCCAGAGTCCTGCTGGTTTAATGTCCTAACAGGTAGTTAATGGCATCCAGCTGGTGTCCACGGTGTAAATCCCTCTCTGAACATACAGCAAGAACAAAACCCATTAAGGTTATGTGTCACGACCAGTGACTGTAAAGCATTTTTGGTTTGTGCAGAGGGGATGGAAAACCACTGGGACTTCAACGTCATCTAACTTGGGAAATACCATTATCATTATTTTTTAATATTTAACTTCAAAGGGACTTAAACTGTCTGAGTTTCCTATCGTTTTAACTATTGATATAGTATAGTAACCAAATGGGATATAATAAATAAACACCACAATAATGCAGCACATTAAAACTGACAACAAAAAGTAGGAATTTCATTTGTCACCTATGTACACACACAAACATAGAAAATGAATATGTATATAGGCAGAAAGCTTTTAATCAGCTTCTCTGATGTACATACAGTAAGTGCACAGCCATGATTTCGAATATGAAAAATCTGCGACAGCAGAGTGTGAAGTCAGATTGAACCGAAATATTACAAAGCAGCATCTTGAAGTCTAAATAAGTTCATTCTCACTCCTGAAAAACACTGAAAAATTCAGGCACATTCACACTGTGAGGAAAAGCTGCGCACTCTGCCAGTCAGTCTGTCACATCACTGTGCCACCACTCGCTGTCGCGCGCACACACACACACACACACAATAGAAAAAAGTCATAAAGGAGCATGCAGTTAAAATAAGAACGAATTGTTGAGTGCCTGCATGTACACACGTACCCATATTGTGTAGTTTGTTGAGTGTCTATAAATAATAACACTGCTGATATCGCACCAATTTAATTAGAGTTGCTGAGAAGTGCAAACAAGTGGACATGTCAAGGCATGTTCAAGATTACTTGCCAGAAATAGATTTTTTCTTTGAAACATCCTGTGAGAGTGATATGCAGAGAGAGATGCACATGAATCTCACAAGATCAATTGAATCCAGTGATGCTAGAGTTACAGTATGTACCTACAGATCTTTGCCCACGATGCCATGTGCAAAATTACCCTTTAAACATTGTCTTTGTAGAGAGCACCAGTTTGCAGTGTTAAAATCAGCTCTGGGGACCTTTGCCTCAAGATGAAGATAACGCTTCTAACCTTCAGAGTTAATCAGAGTAAACAGCAGCTGGTACCCAGAAGGGTACTTGAAAGTACAAATTCTGCATCTTTAATATTCACTGTAGCTCAGGCAGAAATTCACATGTTCACAATTTTTCAGTGCTCGAGTTAGTAAAATTCAATCCCTCACATCCAGCAATTTCACATTTGCATTATTTATATGCAAGTAAATATTGGCATGTCTCATACAGGGCAAAGAAATACTGCTTCACATTCGAAACAGTTACTTTTTGCCAGTTGTCTGTTTGTTTAGATGAAAATCTGCAAAGACGTGGGATTTATTATAATTTTTTATCAAATGTAATATTAGATTTAAGCATGAAATATACCACCCAGGAATAAATAAGTCCTTCAATTTACAGTGTGTGTGCAGTTTCCTTTGGCTGTGTAGTTATCATCTTGTGTTGAGCAGTAAATTGATTCACTCTTGCAGGACTTCACATCTGTGAATATTTACACACTGAGGACCCAGTATGAAAAAAGTCCTGATCTCTCAACTTTAAAAACAAAAGAATATAAACCAACATTTTGACACTGAAAAATTAAAGATATTAAAGATTAAATCATGATGCCACCCTGTTACACGGACCTAGAACCCGGCCAGCGACCTCTCATACCCATCAGTTACCAGGGAAAAATGTATATATTTGCCAACTGGTTGGTGAATATACATTGCTGGGGTTTGATGACAGTACCTTTATGCACACTACCTGTGCATAAAGGTCAGTCCATGGCCCCCTCCAAACCAGAGAACAACTAGAGAAAAATGCTCAAAATGAGATACACAAACCTACACCAAAACCTTCCTTGTGATTGTTTTGGAGTCTGGAAGGTTCCCATGGTTACCTGCAATGCGTCTGTGCATGGAGGATCTCAACTTGTCTGCAAATGCTCATGAACTACTCAGTGAGCAGCAGTAAAACTCTGAAAAGTGTAACGCAACTTTCACTTTGAAGACAAAGCCAAAATCTGTTTCCAATTTGGACCACACTTTTTCAAGTTGCCCTACCAGCACCTTCCAATAACAAGTAGGTTTTCTGATCGCATACTGCTCTGTAGGGCTGCCACAAACGATTATTTTGATAGTCGACTAGTCACCGATTATTTATGCGATTAGTCGACTAATCAGATCATCATCCACTGGACGTAAAACTACAGCTTATTGCACCAGCAGCATATGCTCTTATATAACTATCATTAGCTTACAGCTTTAAGCTTTTAAGGTGCTAACTAAAAATAAAGACAAGATGATAGTTTATTCAATTTTAATGAAATTTGCAGATTGTTTCGGTGAAGTTTAATAAACTCCTTGCTATCTAAAATATAACAGGACAACGGAGTATATTCTGGAGCATCTCACACTTCTGATAATCAGCTGTCTGCTTGACGTTTATTCAGCTGTGTAAAAACTATAACTTTAATCTCAGACAAACCAATTTACTCAGGAACAAATAAAATACTAAAAAAAAAAAAAGCCAAACAACAACATTTTTAATTTATCTAAGTGACTCATATATATTTAACCTGAGTAGCGAAAGACGGCGGTGGGTTTGAAAACAATTTGCCGGGAGTCCGGTGTTCTCACCGCGCTAGTGACCTAGCCCCCGGCTAGCTATCGAGCTAGTGGGTAACAGAGGTCTCCGAAACGTCGGAGCGCTTTTGAAAATATGTGGTGTCCTGATAAACTGAGCCGATATTTGAGGTTTACACAGCTACATTCTCGGCTGAAAATATGTTAAACGTTTATTTTGTGACCCAGAAAGAATAATAAGAGTAATATTAAAACTAACTAGCTGCCGCCATTGTTGGAAACTGAGCTGGGCCGCGCTATGAATTCTGGGACACAGCTGCTTCTTCTTCTTCTTCTTCGGGGTTTAACGGCAGCTGGCATCCTTGTAAATGCAGTGCTGCCATCTTCTGTTTCAGTCCGTTATTACACTCTTAAATCCTGCTATTATTCCTGCGTCTTTTGGGATCTTACAAAGCTTCAAACGACGCGTCGACTATTAAATCAGTCGTCGACGATTTTGATAGTCGACGTAATCGTGACTAGTCGACAAATCGTGGCAGCCCTACTGCTCTGTCGCTGGTGGTTTGTTGCTAGCCTAGATTCCAGCCTCCAGTTACCTAGGTAACTCTAGTGTCCTGCGTTTTATTCATAGCTGCTCTAATCGCTTGCCTTAAAGCTGAGAAAGGTTTAACTCGGGACCCGCAGAGTAAGAAAGCAAAAGTTAACATAAACACCAAAATTTCTGGGGTTGAGATGAATTATTAAACACTTTAAGATAACCAGTTGCTGTAGAAATCTTTAAATTCAAGAATAATATCCTTATAATGGCATCTAGAAAAACAACAGTTTGAAGACAATAACATCAAAGTATTTAATATTGAATCATACAATTAAGCCTAAAAACATAGCTTCCTCTTGTTCTAATTTTGAGTCACACACAAAACTGTTTGATCATAAATAAAATAAATAACTGCTTTGAAAAATAATCAAAGTAACACTGAGAAGTGGAAAGAGTTTGGTATGTAAATATATGACAGATTTTGTATTAAGCAAAGTGGAAGAGAACAAAAGGAGGATGTTCACAGGAAAAGTGACATCACAGAGGAGAGGAGCAAGAAAATAATTATCACAGATGTGACCTGTTTTCTTCAGCTTAAATGAGCATTAGGAGGAAAAAGGAAAAGAAAAGAAGACAATCTGAGAAAATGGACTGCTGTGATGGCCCATTTATGAAACTAAAACCTTGGCACGCTCTACTGTTTTACTTCATTTCGGCTCTTCTGTTAAGTAGGTTTGAGAAGATTTGCAACATAAACTTGATCTCTGGATGGAAAATTGTCCAACAACAACTGTGGGAGAATCAGAATCAGAATCAGAATACTTTATTGATCCCTGGGGGAAATTTTTTTTGTTTTGTTTTGTTACAGTGCTCCATTTCAAACGAGAAACTGGGAGACAAACTCAGAGAAAGAGGAGAGAAAAAGAAACTTACTTTAGCCAGCAGTGGTGAAGCCAGACGCTCTGTGACCGATTTAAAAGCCGCTGTGTGCTGCTGTTTGTAGCTCTCCTCTGTCTTCTTTTCCTTCTATATGCAAAACATATGACAATGACATTAATGTGCCCATACACGTGACAATATGAACATGCAACGTACATGCAAGACTCTAATCAAGCTTAAACTTTTTAGGAGATTTTTTTAAATCAAAAAATATTGACAAACATATTGACGAATCTGGGACTAATCTCTAAATGATGTGATGAATAACACTGTGAAAAATTCATGACTTACTACTAATCTGTCCTACCTCATACTGTGCTGGACTCGGGGTCTCGACAGATTCCTTTTTGTAGAAAAGGGAGCTGCGTTGAGAAGAAGAGCCAAAGCCTCCCGTCTTGGTTTGAGAAAAAAACGTCTTTTTAAAACTTTCCCGGGCTAAGCCATGCTCAAAGACATTGTAGGAACCTGGACCTGGACAGACAGAGGTGTTCACTGTGCATTTTTACACACCTGACCTTAAATAAAGCAGTCCAGGACTACATCGTAATTGGTTGTTGTTCTACTTTCCCTCAAAACCAGCACTTGTTAGTTTTATCTGAAACAACTACGATGATGCAAATCTTGCCATTCAGGCACAGCTATTAGACACATGTTGCAGAGGTGTAACTTTGGCTTAGTGGCACATTTGGCAGGGTGTGTAGCATTCATGTTGTGCTGACTGGGAAGTGACATCTGTGCTACACCTGTGCTACAATAACTTTCATACGGAGGCATTTTACTGCTTTTCTAACATCTGTCTCCTCTGCAATATGTTGTGTTTACAGATGTACTTCAAAAAAAAAAACTGAAGAACGAACAAATGGTCCTTTGCACTTTAACCTAAGAAAATACATATTTGTTATGCAGAATTTGTTAACAGACACACATGACAAAATGCAGCAATATTCAAATATTCAAGGTAGCACAAGTGAAAAACATTAGCATTTTCTCCATTTTTCTCAAGCTAAAATAAAACTAAGACTTTGCCAAAAACTTTTAAAAAAGCAATAAAATATAACTAAACTATCTGTATAAAGTGAATCATCAGAACCATAAAAAAATTAAGGCAGCTTCTTAAAATCAATCATGTGATGCATCACATCTGTCAGTTCTGCTCCACAGACTGCAGAGAGATGTTTGGAAAAGAAAGTACAGAAATAGATTTAATGTTGGTGTGCTCGTAAAGTCTAAGGGTTGTTTTTACATAAATGACTGCTGTTCAAAGTAATATAGGTAGCAATGCCGAAATAGACGAGGCACTAGTTTTATTATTCCTTGTGTTGTATTTCAAAGGCTTAATGCAAGCAGACATCAGAAATTAATCATACCTCTATAAATAAGGGTTCACTCATGGGACAACACAGCGTGCTCTCTCTCTCTCACACACACACACACACACACACACACACACACACACACACACACACACACATAAGTCACGTCACTTTCATTTCTTTTCAAAATGTTAACACAAGCTGCAAAGTAGTACTTATTCTTAATTATTACTTGTTAAATTGAGTATAATGGCCATGTCAGGTTAAACTCTGATCTTTCAGAGAACATGGCTTGTTTAAAAAAGCATCAAAGGCTAATAAATACTGTCCTCTAACATTAAAAGGCAGCAATCAAGTGCAAGTCATGTTTGACATGGTATGAATATTAACTGAAAAGCCTCAGCTATTAACTAAGAGAAAGATCTATGTTTCAAAATCTGTGCAAAGCAAGAAACCCACAGTTTGGAGCAACAATTGATTACTAGATATCTGCTAAACTACATTCTACCGGTCAGAGGAAAATCACTGCCTGTGCATTCAAGTACACACAGACATACGCACACACAACAAAAAGACATACTGACCTGGTGTGGTGCCTTTTCTGTGGTTAGAAGAGAAGCGAGGTGCAGTGACACCAAATGGACTTTTCTTTATTCCTGAGGTCCTCTTCAGCAGCTCCAGGGCACAGCGCGGGTCATTATATGTACCAACAGGGGGCGACACTTCATTCACAGGGCCAAACCTCTAATGGAAAGAGAATAAAGAGAATGACACAGATGAACGCGTGAAGGAAGAAACACAAAGTGAGGCGTCTTAAGTCAAGTATCCAGCACACACTGAAATTTCACAATTGAATGTTTAATAGCCCTCTTCTATCGATCAAATAGAGACCAACACAGTTTCATCTCCTCGGTGTCCATCTGGAACACGGTAACAAATCCAGCTGCAAATATCCACAGACTCCGCTTCAATCAGTCAAAGCTTTACTTTACCAGAGTCAGCTGGGCCCTCATCTCTGTCCAGGTCATTTGGGATGAAAAGCAGTGGTGGAGGAAGTTCCCATGGTGATATGGGTTTGTTTTTATATCAACAGTCTTTGTTCCTAATAAAGACGTTTTTTGGCAGAAGTATGAGCAAACATGCACAGCTGAAAAAAATCAAGAGAGTTGGGGAAATTGTGTAATGATTGAACTGGGGTTAACATACAGTAGATATTTTGTTGGAGCACAGCAGGGCTTTGAGATGCTAATCTGCAAGCACTAGTTTGATTGGTTTAAACGACTACTGTATCACATTTGATAAACCTAAGTCATCAGCGTGATTAAGTTTCTCCCCTTAAAACCTAAATAAACTGAACAATACATTTTTAAAAATTCCAGATGTAGCAAATACTGTAAGGTACAAATTAAAACTCATATATATAAATTAATATTTAATAATTATATTTTAATTCGTCAGAAGATTCAATAAACACTTCATTTAAAAAATAAATTTCTGGTAATTATTTAATAGTTCAGGCTTTAAAGGGTTAACATAAAAAACACAGGTGGGGCAGATGACATATCAATAGCATAAGCAGGGTAATAAATGAAAGTAAAGTTATTGCATTTCATCATGAGAAGGACACAAATTTCATGACAATTCATTCAAATACTCATTGAGATATTTCAATCAGTAACAAAGTCAGACAACAACACAAATCACTATCCATAAAGCCATAGTTCTTTCCTGCCTTTTTGCCTCAAATCTCAAATCCCAATTACATGTGGAAACGCTCTTCTGACAAAACTAAAAAACACTAAAGGCAAAATAGAAAGAGCAAAAGTGATAATGAAATCAATGACACAAAAAATGAGAGCAGAATGCATACAGAGAGAACTAAGTGGCAGGATAGAAAATGAGATGGAGAAACAGCATCTTCAATGCAAAGATAATGATTCACACAATCAGGTATGTAATGTTCTTTGAACATTTTGCTGATGGCAGCCTCACTTCCAGGGTGTTTCTCTAATAGTCTATTATAACAACACAGGAAACCAAAGAACCAAAACAGATAAGTTGCCTTTTTAGTCAAGATTACTGAAGGTGAACTATGCTTCAGTTTAACTCACAACGGAACCATTCAGCAGAGGAATACAAATCACCTGATACCTTCAAATGGCAGCGAGGCTATATTAACAATGCCTACCCCCACACAAACCACAGCCAATTCCTCAAATGACTGATGTTCAACTACAGAATGGTCTTAAATATAATGTATTTGGAGGCATGCCAAATATTGATTTACAGTTTGCATTTAAACAAGATGCAGCCTATGGAAAATTAGTTGTGGGGTAATGAATTGTGTTAGTAATGCACAGCTGAATTATTGAGCTTTTTTTTTAAGGTAAAAAAACGTGAAGGGAAAATAAAGGAAGAAAATATGTTTAGATGGAAGAAAAAACTGAGCGAAAGTTGAAAATGACACAGTGGGGAAGTTTTTTGGGTTCGAGATTGAAAAGAGAAGAACAAGAATGACAAGAAGAGCTGTCCCAGGGCCAAACCACACTATTTTTTCAAACGCAGTTATAGAGCGGGGGTTTGTGACCATCTGTCAATCTGATTCTGGCTTACTGGCTCTGAGTAAAGTCCTGTTAACAGGCACATTTTCCCTCTTTAACTGACATGCTGAGCTTTGTTACCACTTCACATGGATGCTGGGTTTTTTTTCTGCTTCCTGTTGTTCCATTTTTAAGCACATATGATGAAAAATGCCAGAGCAACTCTTTTGAAATTCAAACTCAAAGCCAAAATGTTCATTGGCACTGTTGAGTATTTCAGTGACAGAATGTTATAATGACTGTTAAAGTGAAAAATGAAGACACGGAGAGAAGTGAGACTATAGCCCAAGTACAAGAGCTCTCACTGGTGCCATTTGGCAACAAACAGCTATAAGTTACACTGTTGATGTCAGTTTATACTAAGCAGAAAGAAGGTGGACTACAAAAAGTGAATCCTATGGTGGCACAAAAAGGCCAAGATGTATAACCTTAGCCAAAATGTCTACGCATACACAGGGTGGGTGACGTGAGTGTTTTTTACATGGTGTGTTAGTCCACTGAGCATTCAATGTCAGGTCTGAAGAACGTAACGTGTATGTGGGTTTGTGTAGGTCGGAAGAAAAAGGACAAAAACTAGGAGAACAACTAAAATTTCTGATAAATTCTGAGATTATTTTGAGTCTGAGCTGTTTCACAAATTCAGAATAGAAAGACTCAGCACACATGCTGCCAGTGTGTAAATTGCTAATAGGCTAGAGCTTGACTCAGCACTCAGCAGAGACAGTCAAATTTACATGAATAAAGTGAGATAATGAGTTCTTTGAACAGAAATAATTGTATAGCATTAAAGACATTCTTTCTTGAGTTTAACCCCCTAGGACCTGGCGTCCACATATGTGGACATCACATTTTGGGTTATTTAGACCAAAATACTCAATTTTAATCTACAAGGGCCTGATATCCACTTATGAGGACATTATACTGCTACTGTTGTATCGAAATTTTAAATGAATGTCCTTATATGTGGCTCTCATTTTTCTTAGAAACAAAAATTAGGTTAAAAAAAAAAAATCTGGTAATTCTTTGTTTTTACATTGATCAGGTCCCAATCAGCCCAAAAAGTGAAATTAAAAATGCATGCCGTGGAAAAGTTCGGGTCTTAGGAGGTTAAAGAACAAGAATTGGGTGATGCTGTATTTTACCTTGACAAGCCCGAGGCTTATTAACTTCTCTTTGTGAGCATGATTGACTACAAATGGTAGTTTGTCTTTGACAGCATAAAAAGGATTTGTTCTACAGCACTCTTGGACTGACCAATACTCAGTGCAATGGAAAAGTTAATGGAAATCAGTGAAGATCTAAGAAGCAGACTGTAGATTTAACTACGATCATTAGTCCTAACAACTATATGTAAGTAGAAGTTGTTCGAATGTGTCACCATTTTGTAGTGGTGACACACCTTGGGTCTGGAAGAAGACCCAAGGTGTGTCACCCACAGACAAAAAGAAATTGGTGCAGATTTCAGAAACCAATAAGGCTCAAGTTGGTCATTAACTGGTCATTAACAGTGTCACTATTCACAGTGAAGTGAGTTTTTGATTGCCGTGGACCAAGATGGTGCCAACAAAGAAAGAAAGAAAATCAAAACCTCAGCTGAAAGCTGCAACTGCACACGTGGACGAGCCAAATGGAGGAAGGTTTTATCGTCAGACGAGACAGATTGAGCTATTTGGCCTCACTGACAAGAGTAATGTTTGATGGGGTCTTTCAATCCTAAGAATACTGTACCAAGAAGAGAGGTCAAATATCCAGCCAGAGTAAGATAAATAAAGATGTATACTGTACAATTACACAGGAAAAACAACAGTTCAAAAGAAATCATTAAAAGGCAGAAATTACCATGATATACATGCCCATGATGAGTGTATGTAAATTTCTGACCACAACTTTAAATACTATCAGTGTGCTGCACATTAAACTCAAGGCTTTGTTTCTAGGCCACATCAACACTAAGGGAGTAAGGAACATCACGGTTTGTACTAAATCACATCTAGATCACAAACAATAGCATCTGCTAGATAATGTTATCTTCATAGCTTAGCTACCATTTTCCATTTGTATTCAAATATCAGATGACAAACGCGATGTCTTCTTAAACACTCTATACTGACGCATACATGAAATTCATTTTTTATGTTCTCAGGTTGTCTCTGCACAGCATCAGCTGCAGAAACATTTCTAAGCTCCTTTTAGGATTTTGTGAGAGCTTCACGGCTCTATGCTTATTCAAGCATTATCATCTATAAATAAAAAATGAATAAAATCACGCAATCCACAGACCGTGATTTTTATTCAAATGTGTGGATTATATGAGGAGCGATCAAAAAGTTTTGTGGCTCAACCAATAAAAGGCACCTGATTTAAATTTAGCTGTTCTACCCTTCAAGGTTGTCACACATCTGAATTCACATGAATTCATGGAGCAAAGCCTCATAAATGTCGAAAAATGACAGGCAATCTCCTGTCTGCATTCCTGATCTCATGAGACACTTTAGGGCTTAAAGATTGTGAACTCCTTCGCTGAAGACTGCTGTTTGCTGTCTGTGTCATAACCACTGATTATACTTATCATAAACGTTGGATCACGGGAAGTCGTCCAGAGGTATGTATGCAGAGACCACCTTGAAGAGGATGGTGGATGAATTTAATTTACATATTTTCTTCATCTACCTTTTGGTTTGTTGTGTACAGAGTCCCAAAACTTTTCATTTTCACATCTTAGTGATTATTTACCATCAAATTCAAAAAATGAGGTTGTATTTTTATTTTTTTTTAATGAGGGTATGGGGAGAAGCAACCAAACAAAAACATGGGGACAAATACAGAAACGCATTAAGTATAGCACACAGAAAGGTCTTACAAGCGATCAGACAACGAGTAAATAAATAAAGGGACTGGACGACTGGAAAAGTGAGACCAAATAAAATCCATGTTTTCACAATGTGTCAGATTGATGCTTTGATATTGGAAAATTGGGAAGTCAAAGGGAGGAGAGATGAGAACTGGAAGATTCCAACTGTTCCTCTTTTATCCTTGCCTCTCTTGCTTCTTTCACCCCTCCCTCCTTTCCTCGTTTCCTTTCCATCCCTCCACAGGATAACAGTGTCAGATGGAACCGGACTCACAGTGAGACGAAGATCTAAG